CTATTAAAAATAAAGAGATGATAACAAGTAAAAAATAATGATAAGATGCAATTCAAAATATTTTAGCACTTACATAATGTAATCTCTAAGACTTGTCATATACATAAAGAACGTATTTGTTATTTTCTTATTTGTTTTTTAGATAAACACGTTCTTCAATTTTCATATTTACAAATTCGTTATCAGTTTTAGATATTTCATCACTGTGAAAGCCTCTTTCATTTATTAAATCTTCACAACCTTTTTTAAAATCTTTCCAAATTAAAGAAGGTAGTTGTAGTTCTTTAAATAAAATATCATTAGTATTAAACATATACGAAATGCCTTTTTATCTTCTTTTCTTTTTCTATTGTAAATCAAATAATAAATGATAATAATATAAGGTCTATCAGGTAGATATTACAAAAAGTTAATATTCATATTCTCCCTATGAGGATTTGTCCCTTTTCTTCTTTTTTCAGTCTTGACCTTTTCCAGATCAAGTTTGACTTTTAATTATCATGGCGATGTCAGTGTAACTGTTGTAAAACCTACTTCAACTCTATATCATTATAACGAAACCTTTCTTGCATAACTTTACCAATTGCTTTCATCGTTTCCTTTAATACTTTATCGGAGATTTTTTACCATTTTTAGATGGATCAAGCTGCAATGATTCATCAAGCCCATTAAGAACCTGTACAACTTCATCCTTAAAAAATATACGTATAGTTATAAATGTAATTTAAAACAACAGATTGATAATTACTCAATACTTACATGAAATAACTTGTACTGTTTTTCATCTATGTCTTCAAGAAGATTCTGAGTATAATGATGATATCTGGTTATTTATTCTAGACTAACAGATATGTTTCTACGAGGAGTTTATTTAGCTAATGACTTGACTGATATTTCTTTTTCATATTAAGACTATTGAAAGGATTAAGAGTGTTGAAATTGTTGAGCTTTAAGACTTTGAACCTCTTCTACAAGTGTACTGACAACATTACTTAAAGCTTCAATATCTATAAAATGAAAATTTTGGAT